CAATGATGCACTTTTCAGCACTATAACTAAATCACCCACCTTGCTGATGATCGTCCTTTTCTCTTTCCTTCCACATTTCCCAGTATTTCTTTTTATTGAAAAGTTTTATACAAGTTTTTAACAATATCCCCCCCTAAAATAACCCCGCCTTTCCCAGTATTAAAGCCTGCTCCGAAGAGCTAGGTCTTTGCATAATGTGTCTGATATAGCATATTTTGGCTCACTCTTCGTTCATCTCGCCCAGGAACAACGTATCGCTTCATGATGAGGTAGGTTTATAGGATTTGGAGAAGTCAGTATAGTTTAGTCTCAGAAAACAAATATAATATTGAAAACCAAATCAATCCAAATCATTCCTGGCTTGGTCCATCCCAACCTCAAGCCTCAATAAGATAAGGAACTTCTTCCTCTTCAACTTCCCACACCGCACCTCCCTCCCTCCCTCTCTCTCTCCCTCCCTCCCTCCCTCTCTCTCTCTCTCTCTCTCTCCCCTCCCCCCCCCGCCATTTCTTTCCTTTTGGCTGCCATGCACTTTGCTTTGCAGGATGGCAAGCAGCCACAGAAACACACCGCTCTGGGGTTGCTTGCCATGCCTCAAAAAGCCCCAGCCACCTCAGCCCAGTCCCAGCCACAGTCTCCATCACCACCTGGCATTCTGAGACCCCTGCTGCCTTGCACTTCACTGCCTCAGCTGACCTTTTTCATCTTCTTTCTCCTGCTGTTGATGAGGCATGCCCTGCCTGGCTGGGACCAGGGCTGCTGTGAGTAAAATAAAATAAAAAACAAAAAGCAGCCCCTGAGCCACAGCATGCCAAAATGCCCCTTGGCCAGGCTCCTGGGATTTACAGGGCTGGTTTTGTGTTGCAAAAAGGGAGGAAAAAGCCAAAAGCAGCATGACCCAAGTTCATACTGCGAAGGAGCACACTGTAGCTCAGGGACTGCTTTTCTCTCTTTTTCTCTCTTTTGTAGCACAAAGCCAGAGCCAGCCCAGCTCAGCAGCTATGCCTGGCATGCCTTGCCAGAACCAGGAGCAAGACAGCTAAGGGCAGCTGGGGCAACAGAGTATAGGGTGGCAGGGTGCCCAAAGGGCATGGATGGGGAGAGATAGGCAGCTGAGGACGGTTGAAGAGCCTCCTGGTTGTAAGCGTGGAAGGGCTGCCAAGCACCTGAATTTTGATTTCATGACCTTGTGGGTGCTGCAGTGACCATAACCTTGGGCACCAGTTGTAAGTCCCTTCGTTCGGCACCACGGTAACTTTGAATGGTTGCTGAATGAATGGTGGTAAGTCAAGGACTACCTATATTGCTGCTTTAAATAATTTCTAAAGAAAAAATAGTTGTGTGTTTTGTCTCCCTTTTTCAGGAAACCTCATACTATATCATATCTACCTGAGAATAAATTACAATATTCACTACAGGGAAAATGGTGATTTTATGAATACTAATTTCAAACAAATTTTATACGCTAGCAGATGAAACACTGGATGGTGCATACAGCATAGTTCTATTTGTAGCTAAGTGTGGAACTTGATGTAACAAAGGACACCCTACTGGTTTTACATAGAAGTTGTTCATGCGGGGGTGTAACATTGGACTCTTTCGAAAAAAGCTATTGCTCTTATATAGCTTTGAGCCTGAAAGCCCCACAGCCTCCTTTTACATATTCAACCATAGTTTCAAACTCTAATTCAAGCATTGTTCTAAAACATAATTTCTGAAAAAAAGAATGTTTCAGAAATATAAAGATAGAAAAAGCATTACTGCATTGCTATATTCAGCTTTCAGTCAGTGAAACTATCCCAGGCTGTGGAGCGATACAGTCCCTGGCCTGTTAAGAACCAGGCCGCACAAGTGACAGGCGGGCAAGCAAAGCTTCATCTGTGCATAAGTAGTATCTAGATTGCATGTGAAATTCCCTCCCCTCTCCCTGATCTGTGGAAGAGTTGTCTTCCATGAAACCAGTCCCTGGTGCCAGAAAAGTTGGGGACCACTGCTGTAGTAAACTGATTTGAGGTAGATGTATGTATGTGTGTGAAAGAGAACACACACAGAGAGAGAGAGACAGAGAGAGAGAGGACACACACACACACACACACAGAGAGAGAGAGAGAGAGAGAGAGAGAGAGAGAGAGAGAGAGAGAGAGAGAGAGAGACCGTGCTAGTTACAATCCCAATAATTTAGAGCTAAGTAATATTCAGATGCTGGACTTAACTGGAGTTGGTAGGTAAATGCCTCAAAATGGAGGGGACCATGTTTGGAAGGAGTTTTGGGAAGCTTATTGGTTCTTTAACTGGCATATGCCTTTTCAAAGACTTTCATTGTAGCATCATTGTTCTACAGTGGGTCTCAAATGTGAAAAGATACTCTATCTGGGAAAATAAATCCCTTTCTTTCTCCTATGGTGGTTGATGAAGCAGATTTGTTCCAGTACCACAGCTTGTGCCCTTTCCAGTGCCCCTCTTCTTTTTGCTTTTCAAATAGCAGTATTCATATCAAGAGTTCTTTCTAGTTGCCTTATTCTTTGTCCTTCAAACACATCTCTCTTTGGCTCCCTTCCTGGGTAGGTAAAGTCCAGCTATTTAAGGCTGGTATTCACTCCTACCTTTCCCCTTGCTACTTGAAGGACATTTCTTGCCCTTTTCTTTTGACAGGCTGAGGTCTGGATCTTACTATAAGCCACAGGATTGCAAGACTTGGCTGCAGCAATCCTTCTTAGCAGAGTGTATAGCTTGAGCCTATAGATAGAAGGTATCATAGCTTCAGGCATTTGTTTTTGGAGTGAAGCCTGATTGACTCCTAGAAAGGAGTGATATGAAAGACTACTCAGTTAGTCTAAGCTGGTAGCACATTGAGTTCCTATAAGTTTGTGTAGGGTAGTTGTTTGGCAATGTATGCCTCGCGGGGAAGGAATGAGTCACATGAGAGTCATTTCATGTCGAACATGCTATTTTTCCTTTCAGCTCTTGATTCACAAATAAAAGGATCTTGTGACAAAGCCAGAAGCCTGGCCATGTATCACTTTTCTTTCCTCCTCCTCCTCCTCCTCCTCCTCAAAGCAGAGGGGGGAGTGGTAACATGCTGGTGTTTTTTTAAAAAATAAGTTAACCCCGTGCAAATAAATAAAAGGAAGGGGATGGGCAGTTTCCTGAAAAATGTATTCTGAATATCCATCTACATGGTGCTACAAATTAAGGGGAGAGTTCGTTTCAGGAATCACAAGTCTGTTCGAACAAAGTAACCAAAATATAGTATACCTGTGAGTCGTAATCGTAATGCTGAAAAACAAGAAAACCATTTCAGACTTCTCAATCTAATTCTGCCTTGATTTTTTAATCTTTTTGAAAAGAGTGGGTTGAATGTGATCAGCTTGGACATAGCCCAGGGGAGAGACACATAGGGAAAGGGATGCATTCAAGGGCAAAACAGGGAAAGAATTGTGAAAAGCATCTACAGGAAGAGAAAGAAAATGGAGTGGGAAAAGGTCTTACACAATGAATAAGCTATGAGCTGCTAAGTTCCTCTTCAGACTAACTCATTCTGCTCTTAAAGCAAGCCACAAGTGCTGCAGCCCCATCATTCTCTCTCTTTTATTTAACAACAGAATTATCTGAAAAACTTCTTTGGATTTGTTCATTCCCATCCTCTCCATTATTAAACTTAGGTGTCAAAATGTTCTCTTGATATCTCATTGCAATGACTGCAGCATGACTGTCCCAGTGGTTTTGTTTAGATACTGAATGGCATTTGGAGAAGGTGGAGCTCTTTGATTCTCCAGCACTATCTTCTGGACAAAATTGCAGTTAAACAGAATTACCAAAGCCCAATCCTGCCAGCAAAAAGGATGCTGTGGTCAGTGGCATGTATCCAGAAGAAGTCCAAAAGAAACAGCAATGACTTATTCTTAGGACCATTTCCAAGCACAGGTCATTCCCCAAGGCAACCAGAGCAGGGTTAGTCTCATAAGTTTGTGGTTGGTGGCTAGATTTATGGGGCAGATTCTTTGATGAATACATGGAGTATAAATCATCTCCCAATTTTCCACCCACGTTGCTCTTCCCTTTTCTTTGTTTTCTAGGTTGACAATTTATTTGATGAAAGCAAAGTATGAAGTGGAGGCAGGGGTGGGCATACACTAACAATTTTGGGAAAGGTAGAAAAACAGAAAAAGCTATCGGCAGACTGCTCTAAATGTGGTCATCCAAACATAACGCTAAGAATGGGCTACATTTTAAAAGTCATTTTGCCTTATATTCATTCCCTACGAACACGTATATTGTTCAGCGTGCAAGGGCCCAAAGTCACTGGCTGTTGGGCAGTGTACAAATTTAATTAAATAAGGAATATTGAGCCTACCTGGCTCAATGTTCCAGGTAGGATTCTCATACCATGAAATTTGAAAGACTTCCTGCCTGCCTAATTATAAGAGGTATAGCCGTGTTTGCCCATTAACAAATGCATAAAACAAGTTAAATGAATAACATTTGGACCTAAAAATGAGTTTCCTATTATTATTGTCACACAATTCAAATCAGCAAAGATAGAAGCTCAGAATATATCAAAACATAAGTAAAACAATTTTTACACAAGTAAATGAAAGGCTCAAAAAATAAGGACCAGTTTTGAGCTTTCTGTGTTTTATATACTAGGGATGCCATACATTTGATTATCACAGTAATTCCAGGGGATCAAACATTATCTAATGAGCAGAAATGCAGCTTTTCTGAATGTTGTTGCTGTCAAACTATTTGGAGGGTATGCAGGGACTTCTGTTCAAGAGAGTAATCTGACAATAGAACAATATTGATGATAGAATGCTACAAAAGTAGATTATATGATTAAAATGTAGTGTATTTGTTGCATCAAGGATCAGGGTCATAGGAAACTGGCTTTGTCACACAGTTGCTATGTGTTAAGTATAAAATGCCTGCAAAAGAATTTCACTTTTTTCCTGGATGTCTTTGTCTTAATGCTACTCTTTTTTCTCTGCTTCCATTGGCAGGTATGATTTTATTGAAATACGGGACGGGGATAATGAAAATGCAGATCTTCTGGGAAAGCACTGTGGAAACATTGCTCCACCTACTATCACTTCATCCGGCCCTTCTCTGTATATCAAATTCACCTCAGACTATGCGCGTCAAGGTGCTGGCTTCTCTCTGCGTTATGAGATCTACAAGACTGGTTAGTGTTCATCTGGTCCCCCAACCAACTCCTTAGGCCTCTTTCAGTTGGGGCAGTCTTTTGAATATATTAAAAGGCAATATGAATATCCTTTGCAACAATTCCGCAGTCATGGTCTGAACTGAAAATATGTGAGGCAGGCCTTCTCTCCCTCCCTCTCCTCTCATTTTGAATTTCTGACAGAGCAAAAGATTTTAATGTAATCTATAACCAAATCATTTTCAAAAGTGTATGGCTTCTCTGAAAAAGAAAGCCAATTCTATCAGAAATTAAAACTGAATCATTGTTTCTCTAGTATCCTGGAAAATGCTAAATGTGTGCTGTATGAACACTGAACCACTAGTCTGAAATGAGAAATTCACCTTAACTCAAAGTTGTAGGATGCTTTTGATGAGCTGAGCTGTTCTTGGCCATGAAACAGCCTTGCAAATTTGCACTTCTACTCACCAGTAAAGCAAGGGAAAAGTTGTTAATAGATTTATTGCTGGCAGGATATTGGACTGCCTTTGTTCAGTTCCTTCTTGGAAATTCAGAAGTCCTGTCTAGTTGATTATTAAACTATTTCCAGGTTTCACTGTTCTGGCGAAGAGGTAAGGGCTTTGAGTTTCTTCAGGAAGGTGTTGATGACTTTTTCCCTTGGCAGGCTTGGGAGACTTTTCTTGGACTTGACAAGAATGTCCTTATTAAACCTTACATTCATCTTGCCTTAGTTCTGTTCCCCTTACCAAATCTATTTCATAAACATTTTCAAAAGGTGAAGTATTTCATGGCATATTGACAAGTATTTTGGTTTCTAAGAGAAAGTAGCTTCTTCATTAAGTGATCTAATTTATTCTAGAATTTCAAAGAGCATATTTTTTTAAAGTGTCATTTAGAGAAAATTTATTAAAATCAAGACTAAGCAAGAATGGCCTTCTCTACCCATCCTGCCACCTCATGAATATGCAATTCCAGCACTGATCAATAGCCTTTTGTTTTCTTTTTTCAAGAGGCCAAGGATTTTGTAACTGGTATAATGCTGGCTTAAGTGGGCTGTGTTGGCATTGCCATCAGGGGAACCTCTTGATCTCCAGTATTCAGAATGCTCTTTTAGTAATATTTTTAAAAATCCCTAGTTTTGGAGAAAGTGAATCAGTGCCTCCTTACATTGGCTCTGTTTATATATTTGCCAGATTAGAAAGTTTGGAGATGAAAATTCTAGAATATAAAAACATTTTTTTCCCTCGTTGCAGATTCAGTGGGTCTTGAACAAACAAGAGAAGGTTTGTGGTCATAGGATCTGGGTCTATTGCTCGTATTTTAAATGGAAATGCACAGAATTATATCACTGGTTAAAAAAAAAGAAAATAAGCTATAAGGAACTGAAAAGGGCATGAGGCAAACAGCATTTCTTATCATGCCCAGAAATCTTAATGAAGCCTGGAAGCATGTAGGGATTATACAGATTTGGGAGACCCTACTTCAACTAGATTATGCACATTAATCTATGGCAGCACATTTCATACATTTTTTTTTCTTAAACTGCCTATATCAGGTTAGGAAAGAAGTTGACATGACTTCTAGATCTGAACTTCAGTGATTTTGCTCTGGTGGAGCACATAGGCTACTAGGTTTCCAGAATGTAGAGAATAAATACTATCCAAAATGCCAGTGTCACAAAATTTCAAACTTTGGCAAAAGTCAGTTGTTTTGATGTGTCTGTGGGCATTAAGAATAGGTATTAATACAGAAATGATCCTTGAATTGGAAAATAATTTTAATCCATTTCTACTTGGTTAGAGATATAGTTTCAGCCTTATTTAGTAAGCAAGTTGCCCTAAGTATCTTCTCTGGGATGGTTGTCTTTTCAGTTGAACCTATTTTGGGGCAGAGGTGATCTGGCCATTCTATTCAAAACCTTCACAAGTGAAATGTGGTCTAATTATCTTCAAAAAAACTGATGAAAAGTTGTTCAGCAAACATTGTTAGAATTCAGTTCTGATTTATCAGACCAGTTTAATTTAGGGGTTCAGTAAAAGTGTGCTCTTACTTGTGAAGTTCTGGAAGGCTTAGATCCTATATCAAATGCCTATGTGCTCCTTGTAATTTTCTTCTTCACTCTGAATTCCCTTTCTGTGTAAAATATGGACTACTCTGGAAAAAACAAGGCCTTTGCATCAATTGTCCATGTCTGAACTTTGAATTTCAATATGCAAATTCCTCATTATATTTGAAGGGGGAGACAAAATGCACTTTTATTCTTCTATTTTTGACTTAACTGGTTTTAGTTTTACTTGTCCTTTTTGTTGCTTCTTTCTTTCTTTCTGTTTCTGGTGGGTTCTCTTTATTTGGTTTATTTGTCAGTAAAGCACTAGGTCATAAATGGTTTTAACATTTAATTTAACATCTCTCTTTAAATTTAACAAAATTTAATTGTAAATTTAATTCATTTAACATTAATTAAAGAGGGCATACGAATAATAAATCAGAAGAATGACATGGAACCTTGTTATCTTTGATTTTCAAAAGGGGCATATTCAGCTAATAAAGTAATAAAGTTCCTGAGAGGAGACAAATAGACTAAGATAAGAAATCAGCTTGTGGGACATTATTTGATTGGTTTAAAGATCAAGAAAACTAAATAAAATTCAAAGTGAACATATTTGATTAGGGTTACTATATATATATTGCAGTTTCTGATTGCTATTAATAGAATTTTTTTACCTGGAGTGACAACGCTTTAAAGATCTGTTTATAAATGGGGAGATATTTCTTAGAGAAAGTGCAAAGTTGGAATATAAAATGGATTTATTAGTTTAAGATTAAAATATGACTTTCTGGTAGCTCTTCATTAATAGATTTTTTCTGATTACAATTGAATTATGAGTTTTGTACAATTTCATTATTGATAGCAAATCAGGTGTAAGAAAAATATATTTTTAATTGAAATATTAAAGACGGTATTAAGTTACTGAAGTCTGGAGGAAGGAGGAGTCATGTTTTATATATTTTTCTTTTTTCTTTTCTTTTTTTCTATCTCTTTGCACTTCTCTTTTTATATTTTTCTTAGTTTTTATTATCTTTTATCTTTGTAAACCCTGATAAAATTATTATAAAAAAGTAATTATTAGAATCATAGCATCATTCAGTGATGAGGATATTGGTCAGTAGTGGGAAATTTTTTAACATATTCCTGAAAGTTCTGTATGTGTTTTATACTGTAGAGTACAACTCTTTAAAATTAACTCCCCCCCCAATATAATACATAAGTATAATGTTTGAAACACACTCTCAAACATTGTTGGTCAGTGATGTTAACAGATCTGATGATTTGTTTTCAGATGCTGTTGAATTAGCTGTTCAGTTAAATCTCACTTGTTTTGCATGATGTTTGATTTAAATAGATTTCCATAGGCTTCTCTGTGTTTAAGTCCAGTCCTGCTTCTTCAAGAGAAGCAGACGTCTGTGCAAATTGTTAGAATGGTTGTGGGAATTGTGTTAACTTTTCCTTGGAAAAACCAGCCAAGGGCGCAAGAGTGGTGAAAGGTATCTTCTGCTATAGTTGTGGAACCAGAGGGGCTTGTAACCTTCTCTTCCCATTTCCCTCATCTTAGTGACCCGTGGCCTAGAGAATTCAATTATCTATTGTCTGTTCTCTCCAGAGCAATGGCCTTAATGCAATCATGGCCTAAAGAGAATGCAGCCTCCTTCTCCCTTAAGGCACCTTGGCTCTGCAAAAAATAGAAGGCACTTAGCTGCTGAGGCACAATGAGGGCCAGTGTTGGGGTCATCCCTAAATAAATGGTAATATTGTCCCCACGGCTGGCAGTTAGAAAGGCATTCCTTAAGGACAGAAATAACTGGCATTTCAGTTTCGATGATTACCATGGATGAAGGGAGAAAAGCAGCTCTGTTTCTCTTTTCGTCAGAACCGTTCACACATGTCCTTCCTTTCCCAAGCAGTCTTAACTTAGCCATTGTTGAAGATGTGCTGTTTTTCCAAGGCTTAAGCTGCTAGTCTGCAGGTGTTGTTTCCTGAGAATTGCCACTTGGATGGAAAATGAAATGGGGGCAGTGATATTAATAATTAATATTTTTGCAAGGCGGGAACAATTTTCTGCATGAGGGAATTAAGTGCTTAAAAAGAATGCTGATGAATAGCATAGCACAGCCTGGCTACGGTAAGGGAAGTGGCTGATGATGAGGTTAATGCCTTCTTGTCTCTTTCTGTAGGCTCTGAAGATTGTTCTAGAAACTTCACCAGTTCAAATGGCACCATTGAATCCCCAGGCTTCCCTGATAAGTATCCACACAATTTGGACTGTGCCTTCACCATCATGGCCAAGCCGAAAATGGAGATTGTCCTTCAGTTTTTAACATTTGACCTAGAGCATGACCCTCTGCAAGTTGGGGAGGGAGATTGTAAATATGATTGGCTGGACATCTGGGATGGTATTCCTCAAGGTAAGGACTAAAGGATATATTGCCTGTGTTTACTTCTCGGGATAGCCAATGTCAAGCGAACAATTCACTTTGAGACTGAAGAATTCTGTGACAGTCATAAATTGCTAATATGGTCACTGGGCAATCTCATTTATTGTTGCTTTGTTCTTAGAAAGGAATTAACTCTGAAAGAAAATTAAATCTCTTCTTTGTCTCTTACACTTGAATCTCTGCTTTTGTGAGTTGGTGCCATTTTAGGTGACAGTGAAATCACTTTAGAGAAGAGTAATCTGATTTATATAATTAGATGAGAAATTGAAATCTTTGAACTCCTGAAGTATCCTGAACTTCTAATTAGAAAAAGGGACAATATTTTTTTAAAAAATATCCTACACTTAGTTGCCTGCAACAAAGTTCTGCATATAATTTCATAACAATTTTTGTGGAAAGGGGGCTGAAAAATATTCTCTATTAACACATCATTTGTGATTTTACATGTCAGGGAAACAATGCATGCGTTAAATATATAAATAGCTCTAAATGAGTCTTTTCACAAGTACATAAATTCCTGTTTGTTTTCTGTGAATATCTGTTAGGATGTGGGGAACTGAACAAATGTACAATAGATATGTTATTGTGTAGTCATATGCCTTTTCTTCTCAGATGTCAAATTGTGATAAGTAGGATTTACTTCCAGGTAACTTCTATAGTTATTTATCTTAAATCACTCATCTATTAGGATGCAGTTTGAAATATTAAAAGCTGTCCTATTAAGTTTTGTGAACGCATGTTGAAGGTAGGCATTTTAGGCAACTTGTATGGAATGCAAAGATTTATTTATTTCAATGCTTGTCTATAAAGAGAAGCTTCTGCAAATTTGCGGCATAATACATATTAAGGGTGTTATTTAAAAAGATTTATAATGTTTCATTTTATCTGGTTGGCATATTTATTCCGTCAACCGTCTATCTCTTCATCTTTTCCAACCAAAGAGAAAACATCCCTATGAGATGGTAAACAGTGTTTTTCTTTCATCTCTTTTGCAGTTGGGCCCTTGATTGGCAGGTACTGTGGCACTAAAACTCTTTCAGAGATCCGCTCAACTACGGGCATCTTATCCCTCACATTCCACACAGATTTGGCTGTGGCTAAAGATGGGTTTTCTGCTCGCTATTATTTGGTCCAGCAGGAGGCGCCAGAGAGTAAGTTGGCAGGTTGTTTGGTCTGAGTATTTTCAAGCACTGTTCTAGACCTATAATGTAGTTAGAATATATCTATTTTAGGATATCTTTTCTGATCCTTACATTTAGAGGGGAGAAATAACATTTCAACAATTTTGGCACTGATAGCTGAGATTTGGAATTTGAATTTCATTACACCCCTTATGTTTGGTTTTCTGTGACATTTTGTCCCCCCATCTCAAAAGGTGAGATACTGATGCTAAGATCCAAGCTTCCATGCCAGTATTTGAAAGTGCTGTAGAAATTCTAAACACAACGTAAAATCTCAATATTTTCTTTTTAAAAAACAAGAAGTTTAGACTTAGTTATAACTGTTTTGTATAGGAAGGCACTTGAAGCTATGTTTAGAATTCAGTGATTTGAATGCTTACAGTGTTACCTGTTGTTTCTTTGACTTTTGTAAGATCTATGCAATAGCATAGGCTCTCAAACTGTGGTTTCAATCACCAGACATCATGAATAAATATTGGGAGGGACTTGCACACTCAAAGGAGGGCCATTCTCAGAACTCATTCCTGCTCTCCCTGGACAGGCCAGCGCCTGGTTTGTCTAAGCCAAGTGGGAGCATAGTCTGGCAGGATTCCTGCTGTGCCTGAACAAGCTGACTGATGGATTGCAGCTGTGTGTCTGTTTGTATCAGAACCCTGTCAAATTACATTTTTTTTCTCTGTTTGGACAACAACTATTAGTTTGTCCAAGCAGAACAGGAGCAAATTCACTCCTGCTCTTCTTGGGCAGAAAGGGTGGGAAATTCAACCTATTGGAAGTGTTAAGAATGGGCATCTGGGAGGCCTACAGCTTTCATTCTTGTCCTTAGTGCCCTCCCTCCACATAGATACAGGAAAATCAGTTTGCAATGGAGGAAAAAAAATGCTGAAATGAGCCCCAAGCAGATTTCAGAGCCTCTTAGTTCCATTGCCGGCCTTAATTTTAAAAAAGAAAGGAAGAAAGAAAGAAAGAAAGAAAAGAGAGAGAGAGAGAAAGAAAAAAGAAAAGAGAGAGAGAGAGAGAGAGAGAGAGAGAAAGAAAGAAAGAAAGAAAGAAAGAAAGAAAGAAAGAAAGAAAGAAAGAAAGAAAGAAAGCCGCAGCTTACCTATAATATCTTCAAGGAGAGGAGTGTTCCACATTGTCTGTTTGTTCCTCCTCCATTCTTCTTGTTTGGGACCTATGATTAAAAGTAAGCTCCTATAATCAATACAAAGTCAGTCTGCCTACAGATGTTTTAATCTAATTTTCTTTCTTTACTATAAGAACAAAAACAAGTCAAACAAATTCCAAAATCAATAAAAATAGACAAGTATATATGCTGCAGAAAAGCTCTTTATTAGAGATGATTTGATAATCAGCTATGAAGAATTTCACAATATTTATTTCACTTGCAAAGTGCAAAATTCCCAGCTTTTCATGCAAAATTCTATAGTTTTCTCTCTGCAGTAGTTGCACCACAACTGAAAATGGATTTCATTGGGCCTTGCATTCTTTCTTCTGCATGCTGATATTTAATTTACAGATCCGTAGAGATAATTCTGTACTTCAGCAGCCATAAACAATTTGATTTGACAGGATGTTGGTGTCAGTGATTCATATAGGAGTGGAACCCACCATTCTGTAGAAGAGTTTCTCTTCAGTTTCACACTCTACTTATTCTAGACTTCCAGTGCAACAGTCCATTGGGAATGGAATCTGGCCGGATCTCCAATGAACAAATCACAGCTTCATCTACATACTCTGATGGCAGGTGGACTCCGCAACAGAGCCGACTCAATAGTGATGATAATGGGTGGACTCCTAATGTGGATAGCAACAAAGAGTTCCTGCAGGTATTTTCAGTTTCTTACACAATAACCTACAGTAACAACACCTATATCATTTAGAAAGATTGGGAAGCTATAATATGAGGCTTCCTGCCAGTTACCAAATTTGCAAACATGGAGTACTCAGCTGGCATTCTTTTCTCTAAAATGTTTGGATTTTATTTGTCCATTTGCTTAGACCCACAGCATGTCATGGCTAGGACTGTCCTTAGACCTTTACGTTCTTTCCCCTCCCCATAGCTCATGTGTGTACTTCATCCTTGAACCAAATGGATTATCCTGCTGCTAAATCAACCTTAGAACATGAGCCTTGTAGGGTCTTTGTTGCTCTTACCGCAAGCTGAGAGCTGCGAAAGAGGCTTGAACTGCTGTTTGGGAAAGAGTGCGTGACTCTCTGTCTTCATGAACTGTTAGGGCTGTTAACATTCCTGCAGAAGTTCTTGGCTTGACCTGGTGCCCCCTGAACTTTAATGGGCTTTCCAGAGGCCAGAGAGGGAGAGGCAGAGAGCAGGAGAACGCACGTTACCACTTATAGCCTTGTTGATTCTTCAGTGATCTAAAAGAGGGAGACTTTCTCATGTGTGTTGAGCCAGTATAACTAGAATAATATTATTCTTCTGGGGGATTGCCTATGTTCAACAAATGGAAACTTCAGTAAGAGTGTGTGGAAAAAAATGCTTTAACAAGGCCTACATCAAACCAACAGATGGTGGCAAAGTTGGTGATTGCAGTAGGAGGTACTAGATGGCACTTGCATTAGAGGGGGGGGGAAGAGGTTCTCATTTGCTGCCCAATTCTAAGTTAATGGGCTGTCATATTGATCTTGTATGAATTAGACCCATTGAACATCTCTGACAAGCATGAAGTAAACATCATAACTTCATCTTATGAGTGAAAAGCATCCCTTCCCAATAAAAATTGGCCTCTACAGTTGATAAATGCAGTTGATAAATAGTCTGTGGTTTAAGTCTGGATTTATTTGACTTCAGTAACAGGAGAATCAAAGTTTTAAAACCCTTTACCAAGCTCAGCATATCCTTCCTGAACCAGAAAAATTCTTTTCCCACTACTGAAATCTGCAACTGACATAGCAAAACGTTGGGAGGTTCTACTCTGTAAGACTACTGATATGCTGCTAAAGGAGCATTCAGCCTGCTTATGCTCAAAAATGTTTGCACTCGAAGGCTGCAGCACGTTATTATGATTATTTTTGCTTGCGACTGAGGCTGTGACACAGTTATGCCAAACATTCTGTGAAAATCCTAGTGAGATTTTATCCTAGAAATGTTTACAGTCCAATCCAACAAGAAAGAGACAAAGCGGGGGAGGCAATTCCAAAATGTGCTATTCTTGTTCAATTTTGGAAGCTGTAACAAAACCACAGACTGAAAACATTTCCTTCTATGGCTCACATGTTGCTGCATCTAGGAATGTTAGCTCAGCTGAAAATTGATCCTATTAACTTCTCCTACTGGGACAGCATTTAGACAGAATAGGAACTCCAGACATGGCCAGTGGCAAATGCTGAAGCTGCATCAGAAGGATCTGTTAATATTGAGTTATTGTTATGCTAATTTATATTAGCTGAGCACCAAACCTGATTATCAGACACATGTTCCTGAAGCAACTGCAGCCCAGCAAGGGTTATTCTGAAGAACCCTCTTAGCACTATAGGTTTCTTGTGTATATTGTTGATATCTCTCTGAGACACTACGGGGTTCAACTGGAAGGCAGCCCACAACAGAATGATGGGCTCATTGCATTTTTATGACAGTAGTTTACTAATTCTCTCTCATCTTGGTCTGCATTTCCATTTCATTTTCAGTTTTATGGCTATTGAAGTATCACAAGAATATTATATCTGAAAGAACCTCAAATGTTTCAGATAATGGGAGTAAGCCTTTTTTTCCTGCTAATCTTCCCCTGTCATCGCCCCCTGCTCCTACAATAGGTGGATCTTCGCTTTCTGACAGTGCTGACAGCCATTGCTACTCAGGGCGCCATTTCCAGAGAAACACAAAATGGATACTATGTTCGCTCATACAAACTGGAGGTCAGCACAAATGGAGAAGACTGGATGATGTACCGGCATGGCAAAAATCACAAAGTAAGTGCTTCTCCTCCTTTCTTTAAACAATTCCAAATTTCAAAAAATTATCTTGATAATGGAATTGAAGAACTCAGATCTGTAAGGCATCTTTGGTATTTCATTCAGCTTACATCAAAAGATGCAAAAGATGAAGTCCTCTTCCCGAGTCATTTTTCTTTTCTCTTGAAAAATGTTGTAGTAGTGGACAAATCTTGAAATGTTCCAGTAATCTGATTGCCCGTCTTCTGTTGCCTTTGAAAGCTTTTATGAATTGGGAAGGGAAAAAGGCTGATATGCATCCGTTCTTCCCAATAGTGTGACTGTAGTTGCTGGTTGCTAGGGTGGCCAGACAGAGGGAGGGGAGAGACATTCTGAGGAGATCAGGACCATGAACCCTCCCTGTGCTTGAACATCCATTGGAATGAAGACAAGAAAGGACCAGTTGAGTCCATCCACAGGTACAGCTACAGCAACCCCAAGGAAAATTGTACTTTTGTAGTAGACCGGAGAAGACCCAGAAATGAAACAGAGAATGCTGGGAGATCAGTCAAGTCTGAAATGGAGCTTGAAGAGGTGCAGATTTGGTGTGATACTAAGTGTGTTTTGGGAAAACACACTATGTTGAGCTTATACCTTGCAGTGTGCTTTCTGACTGCCAATGAAGGAGAAAATGGTCTTGCAGACTATGTTTTGCTACATAAGATTCATTGAGCATTAATGGCCTGTGCCTCATGCACATGCTGGGTTAACAATCACAAAACCACATGAAACCGCACTTCAGGAATTATTGAAGCCTGGAAAATAAAAGGGCACAAATCCTGAGAGAGGATCATGATGTCCTAGAGAATAAAGCCCAACCATAAATAATAAGAAGCAATCTGGTTTGTCAGGGATAAGGGAACTGTAGCCGCAGTGCTGGCTGGCAGCGATGCATGGGGTGCTCTGACTCCATACTTGGCCTGCCTGTAAATACAGCTGCATTGACCCTCCCTGATCTTCCCACCTCTGAATGCCTGGTCTGTGCTCAATGGGGATCCGGGGCAGGGGAGGGAGGGAAGCCCCTTCTTTTGTGCCCTGGGAAGGTATGCCAGAGGGACATCAGTGCAGAGCACAGCTGTGTCTAATAAAGCTGTAACTGCAGGGCAGGGGGGATAGGGAGCCGCCACTGATTTTTTTATTTTTCTTTGGAGACACTTCTAAATTAATCCTCAGTGTTGTGCTGCTGAACAGAGCGAAAGAGTGAGCTATCTTAGGTCAAAGGGGACCTTCTATGAAACCCTCACTAAAGCAGCAGCTGCCCCCCCCCAGAGACAGGTGCTTATCTATTCCCCCTGCCTGTGTCTCTTCTCTGCTATTGTCAGAGAAATGACAAAGAACCTCATTTAAACTGTTGTTTTCAGGTAAGAGGGTGGTCTTTCGTCAGTTGTCTGAAGGGAATGGTGCCACCATGGTTTCTCCTATTTCTCCAAGAGAGACAGGCTACACTTTCCCATTTTTGAAAAGTGCTAGGCCTGCCCAAAACTGTTCTTGCAGCCAGTACAACAAAGGAAGCCACAGAAGGTTATTATCTTCCAGTCGAGGTGTTAGCCCCCGTCCAAAAGAGCCCAGATAGCAGTTGAGGACATTTGAACTCCTTGTTCAGTTCATGTTCCTCAAGACTGCCTTTCTCTCTCTATGGTCCATTGATGTTCCAGTTTCTTGTGTTGCTTTGATTTATTGTGATCCTTCGGTTGGGGGATCTTTGAGAACCCGGGAAGTTTGGAGGGTGGAGGGGCGGAACAGGGTTCCTTTAATCCCGTGGAACCTAAGCCTCTCTGCCTTGCTATGGCTTCCTTATACTTAGCAATGCCCAAATGGTTTTTGCTGAACCTGAACCAACTTTCCAGCAGGATTCAGAGAGAGATATTTCATTTATCTGCAGTGGTCAAGCATATGTTCAGAAAGAAAAAAAGAAAGCAATAAATTCCCTGAATTTGAATTTGGCAAATATGACATTCACAACAAATTGAGATGTGAGGCTATTTTTGAAAAGACTTTCGTATCACCTGAAGTGTATCATGATTTGTATCATGAAGTGTGGCATGAAAAGACAGGGATACCAGTGGTGGGTCATGTCCTCACGTGCATCCCTGTGATTCCACACTTGATGGCCTTGCCCAGGGAAAGGTGGAATCTTTCTGTGTTTGGTTGAATACAACTAGGATTGCTTCCTGTCCTCCCTCCACCTGCCATGCATTCATGTTTGGGAAGCTTGCATGATAGGGATTATGAACAGCAGGAAGGATTTCTAAGTATGTTCAGCCAAACCTGTGAGCGTGTCCCTTTTGATTATTCCTTGCACTGTGCAAAGGGGCTAAAGCAGAGCTTGTGGGAAGAGGGTTGCTGTGACAAAACTGGCATTGTCACTCTCACTCCACATATATTGTCTCAATCGGTTTGCCTTATGTCTTGATAAAATTATAATAGACCAATTGACATTACACTAGTTTTTAAAATTACTTTTATGTATTTTATAATCTCTGGTTCCATCGCGTTAGATGCTTTCAGCATTTAATTGTTGCTAGATGTTACCAATGTTAAATTATTTAAATTACCTTGAATTTTCTGAGTGTGTTGGAAGGACTCAACATAAATCTATCTAATGAATAAATAAATTAGCAAATAAACTCAGAAAGTTGGATTCTCTATGAATAATGAAGGCTAAAGTGTGAAAGTTGCCTCAAACATTCGTTTTATGCCAATGCAGGTTTTATATTCCATAGATTGTGCAGGAAATTTTCCCTTGGGCAAGTGCCAGGTGTGTACAAATTCCTGTTAGAAACTGATGCTGCATCCTTAGTATTTCAAAATTGGTTTTCCTGCAGAAACGCCATGGCTCAGGCTGAAATAATTATGCTTTGCCAAATAAATTTGTCAATTTTGCTGCAGCTCGATTTGATGCTAGAGGGTACAGGAGAAGATGAGAAGATGAAGAAGACTATCAGATCCTTTGGTAAGGTAGATGGGATCCAAAGTTAATGGTGCTATCAACAGGTCAACTAAGGCTCACATGTCCAGGAATCTAAGAAAGAAGATAGAGAGACAGGCTAAATAACTTGTGAGAGAATTTGAGAAGAAAGATATTTTTCCCAGAAAATCAAGCAGTTCACCATCCTTACTTGCAGTTTTTACTGAGAGAGAGAAAAGAGATGGGAGAAAAAGCAGGGAGAATTTGAAGGCTAGCATATTTTTAATTCTCTGGCTGCTGTCAGGGTTGAAACTGCACCCAAGGCAAGGGGATGTGAATAAGGTTTTAGGAAGAGGAGAGGAAACAAGATAAATGAGAGTATATAGCAGTTGGGGACAGATGTATCCTTCCCCCCCCCCCCGAAAAGTAGTACTGGATTTGAGGGCAGAAGAGGGGGAAAGAGTTAAAAGGGATTTCCGTGTCCAACACCTGCCAAGAAGTGAGGGAGCCCTCCTAAACACCTCCAGTGATGCCCCATCTCCATCATGTTTCTTACTTTTCTTGCAAGAATTTGACAAAGAAGCGGCAGGATAGTGCATAAGTCTCCCGGGCACAGAGCAATGGACAGCACCACCCAGCCAGCACTGGGACAATCTATCAGAAATGGAGACAGGCTTTAGGGTGCCAAAGATGGTTGAGAGAAGGGGACTAGCAGAGAAAGAACATTTGGCAGTGTCAACTTTCTGACAGAATTCCACGGCCCATATCAACTACGGTCACTACTTGGACCTAGAGTACAAGGCAGAGAAGGGCAGTCCAAGAATCTTCACATGCCATCCATTTCCTGTACCCTCTTGCACGGTCTTTGGACATGCAAAGCACCTGTCAGAGTTTAATCTGCAGGGAGGGAAATGTAGATCAACGCAGGCACATACATGGATTTTTTTTTTCCACAGACTCAAACCTTGATGTGCATATTAACATTCTGGGATTTAGAAAGCGCTGTGTGATGTGAGAACTGTGTGATGTACAAAGAACGCAGTGACATTTTCAAGGCCAGAGGCTCCTTTCATATTTCCAGAAGCTTAGGTTAAATTAGTTCACTCTGAGTCTCGATGTCAATTCCATGGTCCAAGAGGGGAAGCAAGACTTGCCCTTGCCTGCTTTGAAATGTATTGGAGTAAAGAATAGACAGAACTGCACATAATAGCGATGTTGATAGGCAATTGAATGATAAGTGTTTTTTAACACTTAAAATGGTTGTGAATAGCTTCTTGATTCCTCTTGTATGCTGCTTATCCTCCTTATCATCACAGCAGCACTGTGATGGGCTGGAAGACTGGGAGAGGGGAGTTTGATAGATGGTGTGACTTTGAACTGAGATCCCCCAGCCCCAACCTCTTCCTCCTTCCGTATAAGCTGCACACATTGCACTGCTTCTTGATTTGGTAATGCATAGGAACAAGAAAAGGTTGCTTGCAGCATTAACAACACTCTAGTTGTTTTTGCTGCTTGCTTTGGAATACAGAACTGGGGAGCTCAGTGCCTGGTTGGCTCACAGTATATGGCAGGAGGGCTGCATTTAGTTTGGAGGTCATCAGTTATGCAGCTCTGATCCAACACTTTTTTTCATACTGGATCAAAGTAAGAAATATCATTATAGAAAAACACTTGGAAATACCATTGTTTTCGTGTATAGAATGGCAGATAGGTGCAGAGGGACAGCAAAGAGGATGGATGCAGGATTATCTATATAAGGGGCTTGGTTAATTCCAAATTAATTTGCTTGACTTTCCACAAAGGTCAGACTACGTAAAAAGGAATCTGTCACATGGACCTGTGAGAGGGAGGTGGATGGAAGGAAAGGGCTATATAGCAGCACTGGAACTACGTTGTGTTAAAGATGGTATCTTATCACTAAAACATTTATAAACTCTGATATTGTTGATCATTTGGTATGATATGAATATGAAAAGGAATGAGCCATTTCTGAATTCTGAATTCAGCTTTTTGGCTGCTGCCACCCATTCCTAGCTCATATTTAAGTGATTGTCCATTAGGATTCCAAGAT